CTTTATTTAAAGAGGGTTAAACGTATGAAGTGCAGACACTTATCTTACACATGGCCCTCTGGGGGGTTCGAATAAGATATTGATGAAATGAGTTAGAATAACAATAGTAATAAGAATAAAACAGAAGGTTTTATGTTAGTACGAATCTCAAAGCTTCATGACTTAATAATTGTATACATGATATTTAATTTTGGTTTTTTAAAAACAATCTTTTAAAAGTATCCAAGTCTTTGCAGTTTTTAATTCCAGAGTTAGGACAGCCCCTATTTTAATCAAAGTCCATATTGGGCCTTTACTTAGTATGTCTTTATGCACTGACAAGATTGATAAACAACATGCTAAATGAGACTTTTTATGATAAAAGGGTTTTGGGCTATGTCCCGAATGATAATCCAAAATTTACGAAGCCAGCTGAAATGAGACACCTTAATAAGACTATGCGTGTTTACAATGTACGCAGCATAAAGAAAACCACACCAGTCGTTATCGGGTGAACAGCTTCATAACGTACAGAGTATTTGGCAGTGAAGCATCGGGGGTTACATGTAACAAAGCATTATGTCACATGGGTAACTTGTATTTTGGTGAAGGCTCATTACATCTTCCATGAAAAATCGCAGAAGCGGGGAAAAAAAGAAGAAAGAACATCCCGCAGGGACCCGAAGAGTAAGTAAGGTTACTTTCCAGTGGCAATGTAACAAATCATTATGTCACATGGGTAACTTGTATTTTGGTCAAGGCTCATTACATCTTCCATGAAACAACGCACAGGTGGGAAAAAAGAAGAAAGAACATCAATTTTAAAATTTCAACTGGCAGCTACATTGTAGCTCATCAGTAGAGTGAGTCATTGGACAAGCATGTGCGCCGTTCATGAATTCCCACATTTAAAAATGCATTTCTTTTCGTGTGTACATATACTTTGGATAATTTAAAAAAGTATATTTTCACCTGTAAACAGTTTAATATGCAAAAGGTAATTTTCTCGGATCCACGACTGGACCGCAAACCCTCCGTACCAAAGTGTGTCCTCTTGTAGTAGCCACAAGCAATTTTTAGAAATTGTTTCTAACAAAAAATACAACGTGCATTCCAGAATTCGAAGCAGGGTTTAAAGGTATAATTGTGTCTAAGTCAGCGAAGTTACCACGGAGTCAAGATGCTTCGATAGAGGGCTCCAGACACTGAAACCCAGGTCAATGTTATTGCTAAATGTATTCTTCTCTTTCTTCTTGTCTCTGTTTTCTATCACAATGTTTTCACATCTATCCATTAATGTTCTGACTACTCCCAAGATTTTATGTAAAGGGCGGTGCGAACTATATGCCAAATATTGATTTGTCTGACTTTTCTTTCTGTAAACTTTGATTTTAATTGAACCTTTCTTATTCTTATTTTTTATCAAAGTATCCAAGAAGGGTATTGTCCCATTATCTCAAATTTCATAGGTGTATTTTATACCACCTGCATCGTCCACACTGTTCAGGTATTCATGATTAGGTGGTATGAAAATATTTACATACAAAACTGTCTGTGAAATTATTATTTTAACAATCAATGTATAACTACCATACCAATGAACTTTTTTTAAGATTAAGAATTTAAAAAAATCTGAAGTTATTTAACTTAGGAACGTTAACAAAATTAAAGAACGTATTTAATTTATGCGTTTTGTGCAAAATAAATAATCAAGTGTTGATATTTGCGGATACTCTGGAATTCGTTATTATTATTTGAAACTGTATTGATAAGTAATAATTCACTTCATGTCGAGTGGTTTTGATGAGCAAATTTCTTCACCTCTCTCTTCTCCCTCCCTCCATCTTTCTCTTACACACACGCGCGCGCGCGCGCGTATACAAGCGCGACCTGAAACCATCATATTTTCTCAAGCCTATATCAGACAAAAACAGAGTTATTTATGTAAGGTTATTTTAACGTTAATGCATCTGAAATGTATCTTTATAATCAGTTTACTGTTGTTTCTTATAGGGCTTCGTGTCCTACAGCAACTTCCTGTACAGAGCATATTTATAGCTTATTTATAATATTTTTCTAATGATTCTCTCAACTAAATCTACTATTAATCAGAAACTGAATGATCATTTTTCCTGTGCTGAGTAGATAAAAAATAAAACATGTGCGATGAATCAATAACATGGAAAGTTTTCATTTGTATTTCAAAAGATGACAAAAAAAGTAAAGCTGACTATAGAGTAACTAAGCACGTTTCTACCTACGGGGCGGGACGTTGTCACCCTTCACCCAAAAGACTCGTTTTGCGAGGTGTAACTTGACTACTAGTGTACTTATGACGCGGGTTAGTGAGCCTTTTGATGCACACTTATATCAACAGAATGGGGGCATAAATAAACTCAGCACCTGTGCTATTTTTATTGGCACTTTTGGGACGATCAGATTTGCAAGAGACAGTATTTCAGGGTAATAATGGGCTCAACGTACTTCCGTCTTTGTTCTTCAAATCCATTGGCATCGCATCCCGATAATTTGACAAATGGGCATTATATTAAATGTCATTGTAATGTTCTTGTAAATCAATAATAAATCTATAAAAGGAAGAGAAATCGCGTAGATTGTGTTCACAGTAGGTGAACAAGTGTAAACAGGATATTCGTTTTTCCCTTCCTTACTAAGACTCATTCGACTACATTATACAGTGTTCGCCATTCAGTTCACGTGTCATAAATTTTAGTGCGACCTGTAATGACATTTAAAGGGATAACAAATCTCTATGTTGGTGGGAAAAGTGACATAAAACGGATTTTCCCCATGTAAACGAGAATTTTCCCATAGTTCCCAATAGTTTATGAATGCGTTGCGATTACGTCTAAAGCTAAGTGACTTTTTATATAATCATCTGTTTAGAGAGTATTACGGAAGGTAGTCATTTATGAATGTCAACGTGGTCTGATGGTAAGCATAGATTTCGGAATAATTACGATTAATGCCGTTTTTGGTGGTAAAATGGAGTTTATATCATGTTCATGTGCTGATTACATAATGTATTTATTATTGATTTTTTAAAAAACCTAATGTGGAGAGTTGTTATCTCTTTAATGTCACGAAGGTCGGAAATTTATTTATGCACGCAGCCATACTGAATACCTCGAGGTTCTTTCTGCGTCGCCTTGTATGAGCAGTGTTCATTTAATCTAACCTGAAATTCGAGATCTCTATCCAACCTTTTCAAAACATTCTATAGAAGATACATCTGTCCATTTGTAACGGAAGTGGAAAATGAATCCATCTGTCCAGTTAATCGAAGGTCTGTCGGAGCAGCCACTGCGTTTGAAAAAAGTAAGTTATGTTGTGCTATAATATGCTAGTTATTCTTTTAGGGTCCTTTGATAAAGAGTTGAAGTGTCAGGCCACATAGATTTTTATACGTTTAGATAAAACTACTAGTCACATTGGACCCTTAACTCAAAATACATTATTATGCCGATGGTCTGGACTAGCAGAAAGCATCACTTACATTGTCACGCAGAACAAGTAATTACACATTACAAACCAACATATAAACGTATAACAGTCTCCATAAACAATCTGGTACAACACACAAGACTGACAATTGGGACTATCGAGAAATATCTCAGATTCATGTAAAGGCTTAGATGTGAACTCAGGTACACAGAACAAGTTACTACATATTACAAACCAACATATAAACGTGCAATAGTCTCCATAAACAATCTGGTGCGACACAAAAGACTGACAGGTATTCCCATTCATCAGTCACAAAAATAGGAAAAACTGGTGAAAATGATTTGGAAAAAAGTCTACACAACTTCATCATTTTGAATGGGAAGTGAAAAGAATCCTACGTACAAATTCCAGATTTTTTTTTCAGATGCCCAAAGATTACCCACTGTTGACTGGTTCGGATCATTGGAGACGGAAAATTCGCACAGTTTTCAAGAGATTAGATACTGACGGCAATGGCTACCTTACTATAGAGGACTACGAGATCGCGGCAAGGCGTGCTGCCGAGTACTTGGAACTGAATGGTAAATATTGGGTAGATAATATTAGAATTTTTGGAAAAGTGATCTGCGATAAGTTGATAATGTACTGTACTAATATATATAAAATATTAATTGTTAACATTATGAGTTTGGGGGGTTAGTTTGGGGGGGGGGGATCGAACGATTCGCCTTTTTTTTGCAGATGTTACGAACTTGAGGGTCCGTGTGACAGAAAGTCCGCCCTCCATTTAGTTATAATGGCTAGGGGTCAAAATCAAGGGCGAGGCTTACCTGTACAAGTGAATCGGAAGCGCACTTTCGATCGTGCGAGATTCTGTCACGTTACACCGGGAAAAGATCTGGGTAAAATTTGATCTAGGTCTCGTGGCGAAAGATCCGCCTTTTCACATAAAAAACTTTTTAAATTAATATTTTTGGCGAAAGCATTTATTTTTGTCTATCTATATTATATTTATGAAAACTTTACGTGAATATTCCAGATAAACAAGCTGAATATTTGCTTAATCATCGTCGTGTTATATGGACAGATACTGTAAAGCAGAGCTCACATCAAACCCACCCTGACAGAATGTCAGAAGATGAGTTTATTCAGAGTCACTTCCTGGCATTCAATGATAGCACCATTCGAGAGAATTTTGCAGATTATTGTTCAATTGAATTCATCGCCATTGACGCCAACGGCAGTGGTTTGATTTCGCGTAGAGAGCACGCTGCTTACTTCTGTGGACTTGGCATACCCACGGAGTTCTCGAAAGTTATATTTGATATCATCGACACTGACAAAGATGGAATCATCTCCAAGGAAGAGTTCACCCAAGCCCAGATTGAGTTTTGGCTCAGCGAAGATGAAAACAACATTTACAATGAATTCCATGGCCCTCTTGTTGCCTAAATGCGACATTTCTTAGACAAATTATGGAACAGGCATTTGAGCAATGAATCAAGCTCACGGACTAAATCAAAATTATGGGTTATGGTGTAAATGACACTGCTGCATAATGCAGATATTGCTGTCTGAGGTTTTCAACAATAAGAATTGACTATGAACCTTTGTCATAGTTGATTGTAAGAAAATCCTAAAATAAGTATCATTTTGACTGAGATAATAAACAATACGAGACGATGGAAATATGATGGAGTCGTTAAAACGTTGCCTTTAAATTTAATCTTAATTTTGACCGGACTCGCGACCAATTGGAGACCAAATTTTGGTCCACTGTCAACAGTGGTCACGACCAGTAATCTCTAATAGAATTACGAGATGTTTAATATTTTTGGGCTTCATCACGTTCATTGGTTGCCAATATGCTTGCAAGTATATATACTGTGGTTCCACCTTATGCTCGGGTTGCCAAAGCTGCTTTTTTCTTTGTACAATTTGCTTGTTGGATAACGTTTTTCACAGAGGTTTGCACGTCCTTTGACATTTTCTACAGACAGGGAGACATACATGAACTAACATACTGATAGTAACCATTATCATAACAAGTGAAACCAAGTTTGTTTGACAGTGTGTTTGACGAGTTACTTTGCAAAATTTACTTTCATTTATGCTAAAAATACAATGAAACAAAAGAAAAAAACAATCATCTTAAAAAGTTTTGCTGAACTTAAGCTCAACTATTAAGGGTTTGTGACCTTCGGCGACCAGCTGCACAGTACATTACATAGAAAATAATATTATTCTGGTTTTTGTTTTAGACTAGATACAAAATGTACAATGAAACAGCAAAATGGAAAATCTATTTGTCTCTTTAAAAATTACCTGTTTTTTCTAAACATACTAAACGATTTTCTACCTACAGGGCGGCATGCGCTCCTTCATCAAAAACCCTCACCTTGCTTGCTTGAATGTTTATGTACTTTGTTTATTGCAATGGTTTTATAGGACCCATCCCTCTGTCTGGATAAATAACTCATACCGGTACAGTCTCTTTCCATCAAACACCCTGGCTGACCACTGACCAAACATTGAGCATCTATTCTGCAACCGCAGCGGTATTTGTGCATCCTTTTCTTAAAATGTCTTTCACCGGACGACCTCCTTGATGACCCTTTTGCAATTGTTTTGAAAATGCTCAAAAACATCATGACGTCCACAGAGACGCCTGATCCACGAACGCCTTACCCGCACCCTTGCATGACCTAAGTCACCACTGTTCCCCCTTTTAACTACCGACGGTAGCCTGGCCATACAAGATTCGCCTGACTTAATGGGAGTTTAAAGTTATTTATCAAGGTCACCCTGTAGTAAATGTGCACCTAAGTCGGTGTCGGGGGAATAAGTTTACATAACACTTAAAGTACATAGCACAGGTTTTACACATATATCATGTTGCATATGTAATATACAGAACTAAAGGACACATTTAATGTTTTGAGAGTCAAAAATGTCCTTCATTGCCTGTCTCTTAAATTGGCAATCTTTCCAAGCGTAACGGTGTAGATTGTATCGCTAATTAACCCCCCTTGTTTGGAAAAGGGGCTCAATCTTGAGAAAATTTTCTGACATGACATCGTCGTTATGAAACGCAAATAAACGTAATATCTGGGATAACAAAATGAAATGTCCTGAACTTTATAAGGTTCAATTTACAGCTTTTAAAACGGGTTGGCTGCAGCTTACATGGTGGAAATTATATATATATATACACACAAAAAATACAGCTTCCTTGGCATTTAATGAATGTCTTTTTTTATCTGCAAATAAATATGATTGTTTTCAGTCAACAGTCCCATTTGTAACATAGAACAACCGTGTAAACATTAAATTCGTTTAGTGTTTATAGCCAGAATGTGACTTGCAGCCATGATATGCAATTTACGTTCGCCTTTAAATTCAAATCTTCAACCTAGATTTCATGTTCCACAGCCCAAACGATGAAATTGTATACATTTTAGTATGACTGTTATGACATCGTTAGTGGCTACGGGCTACGGTGACCGCTGGTATACATTATATGTGCGGGTGCCCTGCCATTTCGCCGACATGGCCTTTGGTTCACGAAGGGAATGTTCGGTTTGTTGGTTAAAAATTGGTCGTGCGGTGTCCTTTCGGTTCCAGAGCACTTCCTGTACCTTCGTGGCTTCGTTGAAGATCGATACGTTGTCGGAGCAGATACCTACGATTTTAGCNTATATATATATATATATATATATATATATATATATATATATATATATATATATATATTCACAAAAATACAGCTTCCATGGCATTTCAATGGATGTCTTTTTGTTATCTGCAAATAAATATGATTGTTTTAAGTCAACAGTCCCATTTGTAACATAGAACAACCGTGTGAACGTTTATATTATTTTAGTATTTACAGTCAGAAATGACTTGCACAGCCATGATTTGCAATTTATGTTCGCCGTTAAATTCAAATCTTAAACCTAGTTTACATATGCCAGGGCACCATGCGATGAAATTGTATACATTTTCATTGTGACATTTATGACACCGTTAGTGGTTACGGTGACTTCAGAGCGTTTACCTCTGGTATACATTATATGTGCGGGTGCCCTGCCATTTCGCCGACATGGCCTTGAGTTCGCGAAGGGAATGCTCGGTTTGTTGGTTAAAAGTTGGTCGTACGCAGTCCTTTCAGGTCCAGAGCACTTTCTGTACCTTCCGCGTGGCTTCGTTGGAGATCGATACGCTGTCGGAGCAGATCCCTACGATTTTAGCACCCATGTGGTAAATGAAAAAAAAATCAGAACTTCTAATTCGTGCAAGATAATAATACTAAGTTTTAAACATATTTCTATCGTTAAGCCTCCTAAAACCGCCAACCATGGAAGAAAAGGGGATCGACAAGAGGATGAAACAATATCACGATAACTGCAAGTCCGCCGAGCAATGCCCGAGACCTTGAATCCGTAAGATTTTGCACGGTCACCGTCTGCTTACGCAAGAAAGGGGATCTAAGGTCAGGATTAGTCAACCACATATAGTTATCGCCTGGTAAAAGTATTAAAGTTTTTGAATTAAGAATGAGTAGCCAAAATTAGAAACCAAGGTCCCTTCAAAGTCATAAATTTAAATGATAAATATCCAACCATTTAAAGTTGACAAATTAGGGAGACCTTTATACGATTCTTAAACAATGGTAATAGTGTGACGTCATAAGGTTCTTTTAATCTCTTTTACCAAACACAACCACCACACCTGACGTAACTAGGTTTAAGCCAGCCCCAACACGGATGGCTACGTAGCCTGCCTGCCCGAAAATGTCTTCATGTTTAGGGCAACTAAGAGTAGTTATATAGTCTTAGTATTTAGTTTTGTTTACAAGTCGGAGACAAATATATATCCAGAGAAAGGTTAAACTAGGGTAAAATTACAGATATGCCCGAGATAGAATATGACATGTTGATAAATTAAAGACATAAGTAATAGATTTACAACACGCACGAATTAGAGCGACCCCGTATAAAATCCGTGCCTCACCGTTAGAAAGGCAGTACCCCGGGGATATCGTCAGGGACTGTCCCTGCCAATGTGCCAGACCTGTATGTGAGAAATAAAGAAGTCAAGTAACAACAACGCTGGCCACTGTGTTTCGTCTTGCTACCAGTCACCTCAGAAAACAGTCACCAACCACGGTAACACTTACTATCCCAGAAGACAACACTCATCGTATATGATAATCATACTAGTAGGAAAATGACGCAAGTTACCCTACACAAGCAAGGCCTGGATAAACAGCCATTGTGTTTGAGAAAGGTTAGTGATATTTCTGATATTAACTCTTTCGTCTCCATGTGCACTTTTTCTTGCGGTATGGCCTTTTTTTTAACAACTGGATCCGCTTTTACCCATTTGATCGCGTAGCAATTTTAAGATGGCAATTTTATGTCAAAATGTGATCAGATTCATCAAGCAACATCAAATAAGTTTAAAAAAGTAAATGCCGAAATGAAACTTTAGAATTTCGTTGCTCTTCCAGCCTATCGAATACCCACAGCTGACTGGCTCCGATCATTGGAAGCGCAAGATGCGCACCATATTTAGGGCCTTCGACGTAGACGGTGATGGTTGCTTGACAGAAGATGATATGGAGGCGGTCGTAAGACGCACTGCAGAGTATATGAATCTTGATGGTAAATGTATTAATTTTTATTTAAAAGCAACAATGTTGGATTCAAATTTAAGACCTGTTTGGTAACAAAAGTTGTACAAAATTATGTGTCAAGACATTTAGCCATATATTAGGTTAGAAATCTGAATGGGGGAACGAAACTTCGCGCTCGCTGGGGTTTTGCTGTCGTTCGCTTCTGGAGGAATTGAAACAGGGTTGGGTCATCTGTGATTACACGTTTCAGATGACAGGCTTTCCTTACGCCTTGTTTTTTATGAAAAGCAGAGTGTTTTTCAGGTATTTAATCCCTAAAATTGAACGATTTGTATACTTCACGTGTATGGGAGGTCATATTTTGTACTGAAGTTCAAAACAGAACCGTTGGTAACGCATAATAACCCGTTTTCTTCACCCATCATTATTTGCGACAAATAACAATGTTTGAATTTCTCTGGTGTGCATGTGCCGTAAATGATCCCTGAAATGACAAAAAAAAAAAAAAAAAAAAAAAAAAAAAAAAACAATCTTATTTTGAGAGCTTTCTTTTCCATCCATGGCATGTCTGTGTCCCGGATTGTTTATTATAATAAGACAAATCCATCCACTTTCACATGAAAGCACATCCTTTGTAATCCAACACATAGGAATATTTTTGCAGACTTTCAAAGATGATCACCCATTGTTGATACCCAGTATCGTGGACGTACTGATATAATCATTTATCTAATTGTAAATACGCTGTGTATATTTCAGACGAAAACACCAACATTCTTCTGAACCAACGCCTTACATACTTGAGAGATGTGAGTTCTAAAGATTCGACAGGAGAAATTAAAGGAAAATTATCCGAGGATGAGTTCGTGCAAAATCACCTCGCCAACATAAATGAAAGCAAGTTCCGAAATATATGGTTTGATATGCTTTCTTCAAGATTTCAAATGATGGATACTGATGGAGACGGACTTGTGTCTTCAGATGAATATGCCGCTCTTTTCTATAGTTTCAACATCCCTTCTGAGCATTCAGATAAAATATTTGACATCATAGACACTGACAATGACGGTTTCATCTCCAAGGACGACTTCGTTCAAGCACTCACTGAATTCTGGCTTAGCGAAAATCCTGACAACAAATACAATGAATGCTTTGGTCCCCTCGTTGACGTTACAAATTGACATGGTGTTTTCCATCCCCAAAAACTAAATATTCTGCTTCAAATGATTATTAACTTTACGAAAATCACAATATACTACAATGAATAAACAAGAATATTATATCTAATAAAAAATATTCTCTTTAAAGAATCGTTGTTCTTGTGTATCTTATATAGCCACATATAAAAGTGTTTAAGGATATTGTAACCTTTCGCCAAAACTTCTTATTTACTGCCTTACATACATTCTTTTGGGTAATAGATAGGCTATATGTCACAACGGTGACTCCCTTTTCTCTTTGCAATTGTTTTTTCTCAGAAGTGTGCGTGTGCACTGCAGTTTTCTCCAGGCTCCATTTTCGTCGCAGTAAAAGTATAGGAACTTAGTCAACCAGTGGACCAAAAAACTCATTATATTTGTTATTTGGTTCCTCTGTAAACGTAAACTCGGTATAACCAAGGGCATATTCTTCAAACGATATTATTCCATCTCTGTTGCTATCTATTGAGTCAAATGCCCTTTTTGCATTTTCAACGGGTATTCGCAAGCTGTAAAAATTGGCAGCGAATTCCTTTTGAGATAATAAACCATCGCCATCAAAGTCCTTGGCATCATATTCCATGGAGAGAAGTTTGGGGTAAAATTCTAATCTGAATGTGCTCTGGTTGACGACCGATATACAGCTCTGCACGTAGCCCGCCTCAGATACACGGAACGACTCGTCATCACTTGAATCCTGCGCAAGAAGTTTCCAAAAGTTGAGGCGTATGTTTAGAATGCGTTCAGCTTGCTCATCTGAAATCGGTGTCATCATATGATTAGCAAACGTACAGTTATGGACGTTTGTCTGTACAGTAAGAGAGTATTTTCTTTAAATCTAAATGGAGCTGTGTATTATTACACATTACTTTTCATGTTTCATATTGGTTTGCAACCTACATACAGAAAAGTCAATACAGCATAATGTTTTTGCAGGGTGCTTTGAAACGTAAACTACTTTATTTAGCTATTACCATCTAGGTTCAAGTACTCTGCTGCTCTCTTAGCACTCGACACGTAATCCTCTTTAGTAAGGTAGCCGTCAGCGTTTGAATCTAGACACTTGAATATCGTGCGCGATTTTCGCCTCCAGTGTTCGGATCCAGTTACCGCCGGGTAATCTTTTGGCATCTGAAATGTTGTCATTATCTGACTTAATACCGTGGATGACAAACAGTTAATTAGTTTGATGATTTACAGATGCATCGATACATGCACGCTGTACATCTAGATACAGTGTATGTAGATGCCATTTGTGTACGGATTGTAATATAAGCTAAGGGCCAAACATCCTACTTTTTTTTCGAACAACGTTGAAATCCAGTGGGATTTGCATTTAATTGGTTTTCTTATAAAATGATTTAAAAAATAGGCCTAGAACGTTTTAATCATCACATTATTTTGCCTGTTATCAATGTTATCAAACTATGTTAGATACTAAACGACTCGACATTCAAATCGTTCAGAATGAGTTACGTTGCAATAGCTACTGCGCACTTACTCTACGGAGACTCCACCTGAATGCAGTCAGGGCCCGTATCTCGAAAGCTTCGCTTATGGCGAGCGTGCGCAAGCATGGCGAGCGTGCGCTATTCCATATCTCGAAAGCTTCGCAAATCGCGGCCGTGCGCTAATTGCGAAATCACCATTAGTTTCGAGGCTATTATTTGCGGCGATACAAACTAGTCGCAATGGGGACTCCACCTGAATGCAATCAGATTAACAGACAAATAGGCCACCTCCTGCGAGTAGAATGCCTAGAAGCCGGTGGTTATACGAGTACGTTGGAAACAAGAGGAGGACAACTAGATGCAGGCTGACGGCTTACAACAGTCGTTAAGTCGGTTATATATAATGCCTTCATATAGAACAGCACATTCAGAACAGATGATCCGTGGACTAACTGATCCGCCGACTTAATAAGGCCGATCCACTGTAATTTCCCGATGGTCTCAGTACGTGCTTCCACACGCAGGAGCCTTGCAATTAAACCTCAGAGCCGGAAGTTGATCCGTTTAATAGCGCGTGTGGAGGTGGTGAGACCATCAGGGAATTAGCGGCATTGCTTTTTAGTGGGGTCGGCCATATTTAAGCGGCGGTTCAGTTAGTCCGCGGACCATCTGTTCTGAATGCGCTCATAGACAGGCGTACAGTATAACACGAATCACACCAATAAGTAAATAAATAAAGAGAGAGAGAGAGAGAGAGAGAGAATTTAATTCATAAATAAGCATAAGCATCACTCAAAGTAAACTTATGGTAAATAAGTAAGCACACGCATTTACTTTCAAATATAGGCCTACAGGAAGCCATGTGTAAGTAAAAGATCATGCCTTTAATTAACTTCCACTTACCTTCTTCAAACGCAGAACTTTATTCGTAAAAGCTCGGACAGGTTGAAAGCCCGTAACGAATCGAAGTAGCGGACCATTGACCTCACTCTTCAAAGATTGAATATTTCTTGCTAGCACCGGAAATGATTGGGTAATCCTAAGATAGTCCCTACAAAGTTGAGCAACCTTGGCCATTTTGAGCATCATGGACCACGGTATTCACGAGTCTCCTTAATCTATATCAGGTATTCTCAACGTAAATAGTGCGGCACTGGACGCATGCCAGCCTGGGATAACCGGTCGTCGACAGGACGCATTATTATGTAGACGTGACCGGAATGCTAAGGTTTAACAAATCTAGGGGCAATAAAGTGAATCCGCCATCCGCAAAGTGTGTAATGTACTCCTTGACGCCGGTAGTCATTGAGGGCCCCAGTCAAGAGGGACATCACAGTGAGCTTACAATGAGCTCATACAGTGGGTTATGATTTAGGTCACTGTGAGGTCTCTGTGAAGGCTTTGTATGATTTAATTATATTTACCTATTGGTGAGGTCTCTGTGAGCTCATATTGTGAGGTCACTGAGAGCTTATGTTGTTACCTGACACCGTGAGGCCTCTGGAAACCCTTGTGAGCTAATAGCTAGTTCTCTGTGAACTCATACTGTTAGGTCACTGTGAGGTCTGTGAGCTGATACTCATGCTATTAGGTCACTGTGAGATCTCTGTGAACGCATACTGTTAGGTCACTGTGAGTTTTCTGTGAACCCATACTGTAACGTCACTGGGAAGTCTCTGTGAGTTCATACTATTAGGTCAATGTGAGATCTCTGTGAACTCATACTATTAGGTCGACCACTGTGAGTTCTCTGTGAACTCATACTGTTAGGTCACTATTAGGTCTATGTTTTTTTAGATCTAATATTTTAGATATTATTTTACCCTATTTTGGGGTCTCTGTGAGCTAAATATCTTATTATTATCTTTTTAGGAATTTAAAAAAGTAATTAAAAAGAAACAAACGTGTTCATTTCATCATAATTTTTGTAATGTGCAGCCGAGACAAAACGGACCAGAAAAGCGCAAACGCTAATTCACTGCTTTAAGAGAGCAAGCCACTGTGCTTAAATTTTCATAACGATGTATATTTCATAAACTTTGTTAAACAGATGTGCATCATATGGTCAAGTGTTTAGATATTAAAGCAAGTATATCATATCAGGTATAATTCATAAAATTTACACATATGCTCGTATTATTAACGTGTGGACTTATCTGGTTCTTTTAGACAACGCCATTACAAATTAATGAATTTATTTGTTACAGTTTCGTTTATTGAGACTTATTACTCAAACAATTCCAAAAAAAGCGTACATTTCATTTCATGTAATTATTCTAACAGTTGAAATAGTTGCATGCAAAATACTGGTCCACACGCTCGGCATGGGAGTTTAACTGCCTTGTTGAACGGCTAATGAGAAGCGCTCGAAAATGAATTCATGCGCCATGGAGATATTTTGTGTTCAAATGATTCTTAATAATAAAGAAACTGAAACATGAAAGAGCAATTAGGTAAAACTGACCGTGGTATAACCAAAACTTAACTCCCATCTACGTTCAATATTGTTTGTTAATGGCATTACTTAATCAACAAGTGGACCATAAAAATTATTGTATTTGTTGTTTGGATCTTCGGTAAGCCAGAACTCAAGAAAACCTTCTGCAAACTCTTCAAATGTGATGAGACCATTTTTGTCTGTGTCCATTATATCAAACATTTCATTTGAAAATTGCTTTGGAACCTTTAAGCCGTAGAAAAAGGCAACATGCTCATCCTTGGAGACAATGCCGTCGTCATCAATGTCCATCATCTTAAAGTCCCCGGAAACGAAGCCATGGTACAACTCTGGTCTAGAGCGACTTTGGATGGTGAGTGAATGGATGCTCTGCAGGTATTCATCCTCAGTGATTTTGTTTTTGTTTCCAGCAATTCCTACCCAGCGATGAAGGCATTTGTCTATAACGTGCTTGGCCTTTTCACCTAATAGAAAAAAACATATGCTCGAGCCGTTTCCACAAGTTTGTTGTAATTAGAGAATCAGGTCTTAGAGACGAATGTTTCGTTTGCGATGTCGAGCCTCGGATTTGTGATCTCGAACGCCCGAATTGACGACTCTAACCATGGTTTCAGGACACGAACGTAAAACTGGTGGCCACGAACAAACTGTTAATCCGCTTCGGTACATTCCGCATCTGCCGGGGGTTGTCCAAAACGCATTACTCCTGTTTTAATACGCGGCATTTGATACTTGATTTCAGAAATTCATCAGTTTGATTTCTTTTGAAGAGTGTTTTTATTTAGTTTTAAATTTATTTCAAAGCAAATGCATGCTGTAGACAGTAAAACTTCCATAGCAGCCGTTACAATGTAAACTGTGGGCTTTTGTGTATTTTCCACACAACTCACGTATTTAATCTAGTTTAAGCTTTAAGTGACCTCAGCAGCTAACATCACTTTCCTCATTAAATTATGTTTATGAAGCTGTAGCCACTTTATCAAGCCTTGCTGTAGACTTCATTCTTTCGTTAAAGAATCTCAAAAAAAAAAATCTTTCGACTAGGTATCTCCAAAGCACTAACGTGCAGTTTCTTTTAATTTCCGCCATATTGATAATAGTTCGGGATGAAGAGAAAAACATTTGTACAGCTGGAGATCCGGATGAATTTGGCCGAACAGTTCGTGTTCTTTTGATGCATTGCTTGTTGCCACTATAACCTTAAGTTCTTGCCATGAAATCGTGGTTTGAGACGATAATTTGGGAGTTCGTACTCAAAATCTGAGGCTCATGATCGCAAACGAGAGTTATTTATAATGTTTCAAGGACATTTATGCAGCAATAAAGTGACACACACACCTCAATCGCCTTACTTTTTGTCAGTGCAGACAGAAATTTAACAAGGTGTGCACTTTTAAGATACTCAAAAACCGTGCCCTCTCTTAATAACTTAAACAGTTCAATTTTTGTATTTCCTGATAACTCTGTCTATTAACGAATCAGCAAAAATGGATAAGGAGATCTTCATTAATGAAATGTGCACGTACCATCAAGGCTCCTAAATTCTGCAATGCGCCTCCCAAGGGCTATAAAATCTTCTTCAGTTACGTATCCATCAGTGTTTGAATCATACCGTTTATACAAATTACGAACTTTTCTCTTCCAGTGTTCAGATCCGGTAACACATGGAAAATCTGAAGGCAGCTGAAATGATATTAACCATTTTTTTCAATTTTCTTTAATCTATTTACTCAATTATGGTTACTATCGTATCTAAACCTCATGTATTATTATTATTATTATTATTATTATTATTATTATTATTATTATTATTATTGCATGTGTTAGTACTACTACTACATGTACTAACACTGGTACTACTTCTACTACTGCTTTGGAACATCTAAATCTTAAGTTCAAAATAAAAAGAAACCGTGTTCCAACCCGTGTTCAATTCAGCGTCCCTTATTTTTTCTGAAATCACACGTTTTATGTACATTTCGATGTTCTATCGATGAGTCTATTTAAAGGTCCTATGCAGCTTATGTTCTTTTTGATTATGCAATATACATAGTGGGTAAAGGTAAAACTTCTTGTTAGTACATATTAAGTATTCTTTCTTGCCCATCATAATATAAGGATATGAGGGCCAAAGATTTATATCATCAAAATATGTACATCTCCTGTACTTTGAACATATTCATGTACAGGTATTTGGTTTTCCTCCAGTACCTTTTTAGACATTCAAAAAGAAAAAAAAAATATTTTGAGTATCTGTAAAACTCTCCTGCGACTAATACCATAAACAATTACTTTTTCATCCGACTTACTTTTCCAAGACGCAGTGTTCCAGTTGTCAGCCTCCGGACAGGTTGTGGGTATGGCTCAGGTTGGAGGACATTATTTGATCTCGAAGTAGGCTGAACGAATTTTGTTAATCCCCAGCTCGATTTGATACCCCGAACTAAACCCCAACTGCGCAATGCGGTATTTGACATGACCAACATTTTGAATAAGGAAACACTCTGGTCTCTCCGATCACTTTTAATACCTGGCTACAACAGCTAAGTCCTTTGCTTTTCTGTTACCTCAAACATCTAGTTGCTTTAATGTAACAGGACCAACCAAACTGCATGTAATATAAAACAAGGATCATTTATCCACATGTGAAAAAGTATCATTTTATTTTCAAAAGGTGCTATGTCACGGTACACATAACAAGTTACAATAAGAATAAGAGGTGAACGTTCGGCGACCCATGTGACCTTGAATGATTCAAACGACTTCAAAGGTATCTTATGACAGCCTATAAGTATGGAGGTGAATTTATTATAAGTTCCAGCCTCATTTGAATTTTATAAAACTCGTACGAGCATATATTATTATTATTATTGCTATTTTTATTATTCCATGTAACAGGGCATTGGAATTCGGTGATGACGTTATTTTTTTAGCCTACACGATGTGATTGTGTTTGACCGCAATGAAAGGTGAAAAACAGAACTGAACTTGAACAGTGAATATCTGTCATTGCTACAATCAGTTTTTGCAGTAAACTTATTAATTTTATCTACTTCATGTATAACGTTTTAAAAATATACCATCATTTAAGGATTGTTTTGTCTGCATAAGAGGTATCTTCGTCAATATAGCGGACACATTTTGTGTAAAAAGGTTTTTAAACCCCATGTTTTAGTACTGTTGATTTTTCTTTCAGATTAAATTAACGAGCGTAGAATGAAACGGGAGAATAAAGTGGAAGGTCAGAATGAATATTTCACAAACTGTGAGAGTCATTAATGCGACTTAGAGAGTCACTTTTTTGCGGAATGATATATCAATATCGTAAAATTACCTGACATAGGTCATCGGCATGAAAAAGGTGCTACAATATGGGCATGATGGAATTTCAATTCTTCGCATTTTTAGGGGTGTTCGGTGAACCAGACACTAACGTCACATTCATCATTTTTAGATCAACATATGGAACCCTGCAAAGATGTAAGTTAAACATTTAGTGCGTAACGGAGGAGTTAATTTAAGTGTCTATTTGCTGTGGCCTTGGTATATTTAGGCACAACACGCCTTTGAAGGTGTTGCTGCCTTGGATGTGACGTGACAGACCACATGATAGAGAGTCCGGTTCCCATTAATTTGTGCCGGTAAGCCTCACCCTAGATTTTGACCTACTTACGTCAGGCTAACCCTAACCTGTTTAATTAAATGGAAGGTGGAATCTCTGTTACACGGGCCCTTAGCTTCGTCACAACGGGACATGTATTATTATTATTATTATTTTATTTTTTTTTGTAACGTGTTCCAATATTTTTGTACTGATTCATAATCGTAACGTATGTTTTCCTGAAAAATGTACGAAAAAGACCATATCTGTACATGTTTATTCTACAACATTATACTTGTAAGACATAAGGACGAAAACCAGTGCTGCTCAAATTTTCAAAGTGCATAAAATACCTCTGGAGCCGAAAGTTTTCCATTTGTAACGCAAATTATGTGCCTTTTGGGGGTAAGAAGATGATTTTTAAATTTTAATTCACGGTTTTAGGGCAGTGAAACTTTCATACGAACTTCTGTGAGACTATAAATTACCAAACACAGATATCTGGATATTAATATGTACACTCAATATTTTATATGCACGCCTGTAACTTCATTTGCACCTCTACAGTGGATTAGTGCGTTTTACAAACTAGAGTGATTGCTTTGGTTTATCCTTTAGTAGTTTTATTATGTTTGAGTTGTATAAAAAAACTAGTAGTCGTGATTTATGTGTGGTATAGGTAATCCACGCTCGCTTCATATATAACTCAACAAATCTGTTGTTCAAAGATAAGGCGCTTTTTGTCTTGAATATTTTTCAAATGAAAAATGAAAATTAAAGACTACATATACATAATAGTAACAAGAGTGATAATAACGATGGTAAATCGTTGGTGAATCGTAATCAGTTCGTGAAGTTCTAAATATTCGTACATATTCGTAGTCAGTTCTTGCAATTCTCGATCAATCACAGACTGATTACGATTCAACCACGAATCCTGAAATTTGTCAATTCCTGGCGATTCGTGGGATTCGTGGTCTGTGTGAAATAGGGGCATAAGACAGCAGCAACCCTTAGAACATAAAAGTTAAACAAATACACCCTACATTTATTAGTCGTCAAACGCGTCGTACTGCTAAACACATTCGGTCTACCGGTAACAGCATGTACAACATGTTAAGGAGCTAAACGAAAAGATGAGACAAAACGGGCGCTTAGAAATGTGTTTAGGAGCTAAACACTGTGTACGTTGGCAGTAAGGCCTTAATTTCAAGATAGCTGTAGGCTGAGCGTTTTTTGTTAATCCCAGGCTTTTTTGGATAGCCCTTAAATAGTCCCCAACTACGTATTGCATGTGTTTGACACGACGGACATCGTGAACCGGGATATATTAATCTATCAGGTTTTTTTCTGTGTACAGCAACAAAAGTGTGAAACGTCCTTTTTTTTCACCCGCAACTAACTGCACGAACGTGACGTGGTTTTGAAAATAGATATCAAACCACAGCACGGCCAGTGAACCATCCCCCTAAAACATATATCCCTTTCCAAATACACAACCTCTGTAAAAAAGTTTTTTTTTACATCATACCTTCACAAAGTAGTACATCTAGTAACAATAAGAAAAACGGGTTACTCTGTGACCCACAAGCCCTTGTTTGGATGTTATCGACTCATGTAATATCTATCAGCAATCTGATTTATATATCGGGGCGGATCCAGGATTATTTGAAGGAGGGGGTCCGCGAATATGAAGCCACCCCCCCCTCCTTGGCGTGGGGTACGGGGCCCGCTGGGAGGCCCCGAAGATTTGTGGTATTTTAAAGGGCGAACAGTGAGTGGCATTTGGTACGGTTAGAACTTTCATTCATTTGAAGAGGGAAATTTTGGTGTGATTTTTTAAGAAAACGACCCCGTCTTAATCTGCCACTATATATATATATATATCTGATATTCTATATATATATATATATAACACTGGTCAAAAAGGTTGTCCCACCTTCAGTTTCATGTGCCTTTATTTATAAATGATCACATCACAGGAGCCAATTGCTGTGAATGGTGATTTTCATTCCAGATACCATAACTAACATGGATACGCTTGAATGTCATTACGCTATTGCCATCTTAGAAGTTTGATTGAATGAAACGGGACCTTGGAAGGAAGAATTGGCCAATACTAAAACAAAACACTCATACTGTAAGGTCACTATGAGATATCTGTGAGGCTCACACTGTTAGCTATAGGTCACTTTTAGGTCTGTGTGTTCTTCGAGAGCTAATATTTTAGTTATTCTTTTAGCCTATGTTGAGGTCTCTGTGAGCTAAATATCTGATTATTTTCCTTATAGGAATTTTAAAAATAATTAAAAAGAAACAAATGTGTTTCTTACATCAATTTATTGTAATGTGCAGCATAGACAAAACGAACGAGTTTAGCGCAAACGCTTTATTCATTGCTTCATGAGAGCAAGCCACTGTGCTTAAATTAACGTAAGGATGTATACTTTATAAACTTTGTTAAACAGATGTACATCACATGGTCAATTGTTTAAATATTAAAGCAAGTATATGATATACATGTATAATATATAAAATGCACACATATGCTTTTCACATTTTTCACTTGTGGACTTGTCAGTTTCTTTTCGACAATATCTTAACGAATCTATTCGTTTCAGTATTATTTATTGAAACTTATTACCCAAGCAATTACAAAATTACAATAAATCAAACATTGCTCTTCATCTAATTATTCTAACAGTTGAAATAGTTGCTTGCAAAATACTTTATTTACTCTACGTCAATTCGCTCTTTGCCATGCCTTGTCCACTAGCTCGGCTTGGGAGTTTAACCTTAACGGCCCATGGTAAGCGTTCGAATATGAACACATACGTCATGGATATACTTGGGTTCAAATGATTCTTAACAATAACGCAACTGAAACACGACAGATCAATTGTGTAAAACTGACCTCACTATAACCAAAACTAAACTCCCTTGGCTGATGTTCTATATTGTTTGCATTCGGCATTGCTTAATCAACAAGTGGACCATAAAAATGGTTGTATTTGTTGTTTGGATCTTCGGTAAACCAGAACTCAAGAAAACCTTCTGCGAAATCTTCAAATGTGATGAGACCATTTTTGTCTGTGTCCATTATATCAAACATTTCATTTGAAAATTGCATTGGTACCGCCATGCCGTAGAAAAAAGCAACATGCTCATCCTTGGATACAAGGCCATCGTCATCGATGTCCATCATCTTAAAGTCCGCGGAAACGAAGCCATGGTACAACTCTGGTTGAAAGCGGCATTGGATGGTGAGTGAATGGATGCTCTGCAAGTATTCGTCTTCGGTGATTTTGTTTCTGTTACCAGCAATTCCTACCCAGTTATGAAGGCATTTGTCTATAACATGCTTTGCCTTTTCACCTAATAGAAAAAAATATATGCCATTTCGAGCCGTTACCACAAGTTTGTTGCAATCAGAGAATCAGGGCTTATAAACGAATTATTCGAGCCTCAGATTTGTGATCTCGAACATCCAACGACTCAAACAATGATTTCAGGGTACGAACGTAAAATTGGTGGCCCCGAACACCGCATTACAAACAATAAACTGTTAACCCGCTTCGTTACATTCCGCATTTGCCGGGGATTGTCCAAAACGCATCACTCCTCTATTAATACGCGGTATTTAATACTTGATTTCAGAAGTTCATTCGTTTGATTTCTTTTGAAGATTTGTATTTAATTTTCATTTATTTCAAAGTTAAAAGATACATGCTGCAGACAGAACAACCTCCACTGCAGTCGTTGCAATGTAAACTATGGGCATCTGTGTATTTTCCACACCACTCACATGTTTCATCTAGTTCAAACTTTAAGTAATCTCGGCAACTAACATCACTTTCCTCATTAAATTCTGTTAATGGAGCTGTAGCCATTTTATTAGGCCTTGCTGTAGACGACAATAACCACGTGTATTTCGTTAAAGAATTAGAAAGAGGTAAAAAGCCGCGCTCTTTCGACTGGGTATCTCCAGTGCTATAACGTGCAGTTTCTAGTATCTTTCGCCATATTAATAATAGTTCGGGATCTAGAGAAAAAGATATGTGTACAGAGTGTAGAGACTCGGATGAAAGTTTGCCCAGTAGTTCGTGTTCCTTTGATGCAATGCTTGTTGCCACTATAACGTTAAGTTCGTGCCATGAAATGGTAGTTTGAGGAGATAGTTTGGGCGTTCGTGCTCACAAAGGATGAGTGCTAATAAGAGGGTAAAAGCACCCACCTTTGTACATGAAAAATATGAATGAATGGAAATAATTGATGCCGAATTAAAGTTGGGGTCTTACACTTTTATGATCCACTTAAAGAAAAAAAAATTGAATTTGAAATATACAAAATTAAGGTCAAAATGACCTTGTCAAATATTCATGAAAATGTGTGTTTTAGGGGGGTTCTGAAGCACAATGCTACATATCTATAGTAATAGTAAGGTGACAACTGTGAAATTTTCTAATTGGGTAATAAGTGGCCTACTTTTGTTTGTGATTAATATTTTGATTGCTTTATTTGTACATGTAGTGCTGATTGAAAGAAGAATCTTACAGTGACTTGAGGATAAAAGATGTTCATTTTTTATATGAGCCCCTGTCTCAGACAAGCTAATTATTCACGGTTGAAAAGACATGAATATAAGGTGAGACATATGTGAAAATCAGTTTGTCTGAGGGTTGGGCTCGATATGTACTCAAACTAAATAGGGACATTTTCAGTCCATATGCTAGCAGTCGGCCAAGTTTATTCCTGCCATGAGTTAGCTGCTACATGCTTACATAGGATGGCTAGGCAGATACAGTGAAACTTTTGTACAACCCAAAATAAAATGTAGGTCTTTAAAAGGAAAATACGGGTTAGAGTCAGTGAAATATTTTCAATTACAACCAAAAAAAGAAAAGTAATTTTCATGTAATGTATGCTATCAAAAAAAAAAAAAAAAAAAAAAAAAGAAAGAAAAAAATATGGACAGGAAATGGAGTCCAAATACAGTAAGTATATCTTATTTTCATTCTTATTTCTCAGGATTAAGAAAGATTAAACGTAAAATGTGCTTCAGATATTCAAAGTTATATTAATTATCATAATAGCAGATGTACATTGTGATGACTCCTACTACATATATAGAGACCCATGCTGTAATAGACCTCTACACATAAGGGTGGCTTGACCCAACCCCCTCTAATGGGCATGAAAGTACATTTTGTACAATCAAAATTATTGTGTAAATGTCCCCTTTTATGTCTATTTTGCATAAAAAGTAAAATAAAAGGCTCCATCACACACAGTGACACCCTAGTTTTGTTACTTATTACCTAATCTTCCACACCAGTACTATTCATAATAGCTTTGTAGAGTTTTTTCTTTTTCTTTATTTTCACCAAAATGCTTTGAATGGCTTTATTTGTCAAGGAGATCAGTGAAAACCTATTGACTTGGTATATAGTCCAAACAAAAGACCACTAGCCTATAATAATTACCAGAAGTTTACCAGATAAAGCAAGCTAGCCAATATACTGGTGAGCATCTGCTACCGTCTGTAGATGGCCAGTTTGAAATCAGTGTATGCAAGGATGCACCTGATTTAATCAGAGCCAAAATAGTTTTAACTATTAAAATTAAGGCACACATCTAGCCACCAGTACACATTATGGATTCCCATAGCAAAACTAGACCCATCAGTGGCTGGTACTGTCAGTGTAAAGCTGGTTCCAAGACAGTTGGAAGTTGTGCACATATCACTTCATTTCTGTGGTATATGTGGTTTGCCATGAGGCAGGGATACAATCAAAATTATGTTGTGGAGAAGGCTGTTTGGATGCCTCACATTTACCAACATCAAGTGGTGACAGTATTAGCGAGACAGAAAGTGTTTCGGACAGCACATCTGATTAATTATCTATTGTTTCTTAATACATTTTTATTCTCATATTTGTATATTGTGTATAAAATAACTCCTGCATTGCATTCTATATAAGGTCTTTATCACATACATAATCGTATATGAAGTACTTTTTAGGTGATTTAATTTCATTGTCATACAGATTATTGACCATAACTGTTATTATGTGTACTATATTTTCATTTAGTTTTACTTATACCTTATCATTATTTTGGTACAATTTATACCTTGGTTATTTTATGGTTAATGGAAACATTCCAAATAGCTGTTTAGAGTGCTTTCACACATGATTTTTTTTTGTTGTTACTGTAACAGCCTTTTGCTTTTAACATTTTTTACTATTCCTTAGAGCCTTGTACAAAATGTGTATTGGTTAACAATACAATTATTTAGACCAACAAATGCTGGTTTGTGAGAAAAGTTATATAAAATTAATAAATACGCTGAAATAAGTTGTTCTAGTTACAAGAATTTTATACAGTAAAGTGAAATTAGTGATGGCTTCTGTGAGAAAATACCGTGATACACCACCCCTCCCTCTCTTCTCTAGGATTGAAAATAAAAATAAAAACAATAATTACTTTCCCATTTAATTGTGCCAATTATTATTTAACATATATCTCTTTTTTACATCACAAGACAAGTTTCATCAGAAAAAAACCATTTATGTAATATATATGCTGAAACAAGTTGCTCTGAGTCATTAGACTGCATACAACAGGTAAATCTGGCTACCCCCCCCCCCACATATTACTCTTTAAAAATACTAAGTTACGATGCCTCAAACCAAATACTTTTTTTCACACAACAAATATATGCATAAATTTTATAATAGGAAATTATTAAAACATTTTGACGATGGGCACTTTGCCAATGGTTATCTGCACTCATCCTTTGAGACAAACGACAATTATTGTTTATGGGGCATGATAATGTTTCTAGGGCAAATATACAGTAATAAAGTGACACACAATGCAACTCCAATCGCCTAACGTTTTGTCAGTACAGAGAATTTTTTCGAGGTGTGCTCTTTTAAGATACTAAAAAACCGTGCCCTCTCTGTGTTTGACTTAAACGGTTTAATTTTGTATTTTCTGATAGCTCTGTCTGTTAACGAATCACCACGAATGGATAATAATAATGACATCTTCATTTATGAAATGTACACGTACCATCAAGGCTCCTAAAATCTGCAATGCGCTTCCCAATGGCTTTATAATCTTCTCTAGTTAGGTATCCATCAGCGTCTGAATCAGAACGTTTAAACATACAACGAACTTTTCTCTTCCAGTGTTCAGACCCAGTGACACATGGGAAATCTGCCGGCAGCTGAAATGATATTAGCCATTTTTCAATTTTCTTTATTATATTTACAGTTATTGTAACAGTGATTCATATCTTATTATTATTATTATTATCATTATTATTGTTATTATTATTATTATTATTATTTTGTATGAGTGACTGCTACAACGTGTACTACTACTGCTTCTATACTTCTATTACTGCTTTGGAACATCTATGTACAATTTGATTGTCTATCGATGAGTCGATTTAAAGATCATATGCAGCCTATGTTCGTAAGCAATATACATAATGGGTAAAGGTACAACTTATTGTTAACTATAATACATATTAAGTATTCTTTCCTATCCAATATTATGTTGGAGGACATTCTTTAATCTCAAGGTAGGACGAACGAACGTTGCTAATCCCCTACTCGATACGATATCCCAAACGAACCCCCAACTACGCAATGCAGTATTTGACATGACCAACATCATTAACTTGCAAACACTCTAGTCTCTCCGGTAACTTTTATTTGCTTAAATGTAACAGGACCAACCAAACTACATGTACTTTTAAAGGTCAAACATGCGCGAAAGTATCATTTCATATTCAAAAGGTGCTATGTCACAGTACACAGAATAAGACCCCATTCCACAGATTTTAGATCGATCTATCCCTGTGGGGAGTCTCACTAGATCACTGTTAGATTAGCCGGCTTTAATGTCTTTCCCGCCTACTAACAGCTGTAAGGGGGTAATTAACTACCGTGCGCGCTCGGCTGACATCAATTTAGCGTGAACCCCGAGGGAGTTAGGTCGATCTAGATGGATCTATCTAAATCTATGGGAATGCAGTATAAGAGGTGAATGTTCGGCGACCCATGTCACCTTGAATGATTCAGACGACTTGAAAGGTATCTATGGATAGCCTATAAGTATGGAAGTGCGTTTAATATTAGTTCCAGGCTCATTTGACTTTTATAAAACTCGTATGAGCATATGTTATTATTATTATTATTATTATTATCATTATTATTGAAATTCGGTGATGACACTTTTTTTCTTAGCCTACACGATGTGATTGTGTTTGACCGCAATGAAAGGTGAAAAACAGAACTGAACTTGAACAGTGAATATCTGTCAATGCTACAGTAAGTTTTATCGAGTTTTGTGACGCAATTTCGCAGTAAACCTTTTAATTATATCTACATTATGTATAACGTTTTTAAAATATACCATCATTTAAGGATTGTTTTTGTCTGCATAAGAGGAATCTACGTCAATATAGCGCACACATTTTGTGTAATATTTGCAAAACAGTTTAATACCACTTGTTTTAGTACTGTTGATTTTTCTTTCAGATTAAATTAACGACTATAGAATGAAACGGGAGAATAAAGTTGAAGGTCAGAATGAATATTTCACAAACTGTGGGCGTCAATAACGTGACTAAGAGAGTCACTTTTTTGCGAAATGATATATCAATATCGTAAAATTACCTGACATAGGACATCATCAGCATGAATAAGGTGCTACAATATGGGCATGATGGAATTTCAATTCTTTACACTTTTAGGGGTGTTCGGTGAACCAGACACTAATGTCACATTCATCATTTTACATAAGGGTGAGATCAACACGTGGAACCCTTCACGTAAAAATGTAAGTTAAACATTTAGTGCGTAACGGAGGGGTT